CCCCTTTGTGGGAGGGTGGGTGGGTTGTGCTTCATTCCTTGCAATTGGTTTCTCGTTTCTCCCCCTTCTCCCTCCACCTTCTCCCTACCCTCATGATATCGCTACTTCCATTATTGTTCCTGAGGGGGCTATCTGTCCTGTCTTCCATGTGTCCAGAGCTCTTATCTGTACCAGTGTACATGTTCTGGTCTAGCTAGATTTATAAGATAGAATTGGGGTCATGATAGTGGCGGGGAGGAAGCATTAATGAACTAAAGGAATGTTGTGTGTTTCGTCGGTGCTATACTGCACCCTGGCTGGCTCATCCCTTCCTTGTGACCCTTCTGCAAGGGGATATTCCATTGTCTACAGATGGCCCTTCTGACCCCACTCATTCATATAGAAATGGTTACTTTTTAATAAAGAAAAAGAAGTGGTTGCTTGTTTTGGGTCTTCTGATGCCTGATACCTGATCCCATTGAAAATCTTATAATCACACAGGTTGGTAAAAAAATATATATTTTTTTTTAATGAGGTGAGGAATGAAATTTTACATCAATTCATGATTTTTGAAAGTACAAGGAAATTTTCTTAAGTCGATGAACTGTCGATTGGAGCATAGAGCAATCATTATCCCCAACAGGCAACTTCTGCAGTGCCTCCTCCGTGCCTCAAACATGAGACGGAGGCTGCTGTTCAGCAGGAGCCCCGGTGGCTTGTGGGTTAGGCACTGGGCTGTTGACCTCTAAACAATCAAAACCACCAGCTGCTCCACGGGGAAAAGATGAAGCTGTCTGGTCTGCAAAGATTAACTCCTCTGTCCTAGAGTATCTCTATGAGTCAGAATTCACTTGATGGCCATGGGCTTGGTTTTGTGGGTTCACAATCATTCTGAGAATTGCAACTACTGCAGTGAAATGAGAAGAGGGGAACTTTCGTATAAATGTCAAAAAGGGAGAGGCAAGAGTATTACTAGTTACAGAAAACATCGTCTACCTGAATATCCAATCTAATTTACTCACAAGGAAATAGAATTAAGAAGAAAACTAACCAAGGAGGCCAAAGCTATCATAACCAATAGCTTTTCCATACATCAATAATAACCAAGCAGAGAAAATCTATCCCATTGGATAGATTAATAATACTATTGTTAGAATTACCAAATGTCTTATGGGGGTTATTTAAATTATTTCTCAACAAGCTGATAATACTGTCTCTAAAATGAACCAACATAAACTGCCTACCTAAAGGGATCTACATAAACTTTAGACATACAAATGGATTTTGAGCATACACTTAAAGGTAAACCCTAATCTGAGAACAATGTCTTCCTGGGACGTGGCCCTGCTCAATGCTTGCCCTTATGAAGTGATCACTGAAAAAATGGGTGCTACAGCAAAGTGTGGTGAAGAAATCAGATGGTGCCTGCCGATCAAAAACAGGACCACCTGGAGTCTTAAAGGCTTAGCTTGAAACAAGCAGCCATCTAACTGAAGTGTCATCTAAGTCCACACAGGAGAGGATAACAGCCTGTGTGATCCAAGGACTGTAAGTAATAAAATCCATGATCAGAGGAGGTTTCAAACCCTATATAGTGTTTCTGAGACTGTAAATCTTTACAAATGTAGATAGCTTCATCTTTCTCCTTCCTGATGAACAGCTGGTGGATTTGAACCACTGACCTTGTAGTTACCAGTCTGTAGCTTACCCAATATTGCCACCAAAATGCCATAGGCAATAAAAACTTATATCACAATAGCAGCAAAGACTGAGGAATAAACCAAACAATATAGATAATCCCTTAAGAGCCTTTGCACATGGCAAATGTCAATGTGTTCCTTTGGTAACTGAAAGGTTTGAAGTTTGAGTCCATACAGACATACCTCAAAAGAAAGGCCTGGTGATCCATTTTCAAAGAATCAACATTGAAACTGTTATGGAGTACAAGTTTACTGACACACATGGAGTTGCCATGAGTTGGAGTCAACTCAATGGCAACTGTTGTTTTCCCTAAATTAATACAAATTAACTGTATTTGTATAGTGCTAATACATGTCAAGCATCTTCAACAACTTCGTCTACTTATTCCTAACACTTTGAAATGAATACTGTTATCATCCCATTTTACATGTGAAGAAACTGAGGCACAAAGATGTTAAATCATTTGTCTGTTCATTGTTGCACCTACGAAGGGTCAGTCCCCAACCCTGGCTCCAACGTCTGTGTTTCTATTCTTCACCTATCTCTGTCATTATAAAAAGGCATTTTCATAAAAATATAAATTTTCAATACAGGTCTAGTCAAATGTTAAGTTCAAACCTTCATGAAATTTGAAAATTGGTTCTAAAACTCATATCAAAGATAAAACAGAAAAGAAGAATAAAAAATATTACAGGGGGTGATGAAAGAATCATTGAAATGATATTCAGGGTCAACATCTGGACCAGTGTTGGTGCAGAAAGTTATCAGTAGACATATGGATCAATAAGACGAATGCAGAAGTAGATCAACATACTTCTATCCGGGAATTTAGTGTATGACCAAAGGTGCCATTGCAATGAAAGAGCAACCCAAGGACCGTGAATAAGTCATGTTGGATAGTTGGTTCTCCATTGGGGGAGGAAATTAAATTAAGTCCCTGCCTCAGAATACATACTAGTATAAAGTGGCATGAAGAGTTAAGCAATGAACACCTAAAAATGTCTGTAATATAGGGAAGTATACTTCCAAGTTTTTGAGAAAATCAAGTCAGGTGTTAAACAAATTATGGTATATTAATACTGTTCTGTAGAAATTAAAAGAACAAAAGGAATGAAATAAATCTATACACAATGGCATGAAATGTTCTCCATTACAAATTGT